AGAAGTACCAAAACATGATTCTGTATGCCTTGTCATGCCGTGTCCCCATAGAAGAGTTGTGACGGATAGAGATTAAAGTTCCAGATGACTAAAACACTTTCTCAACAACTCTTCATATCACTGAGAGGTCATTACTTACTGTTAGTGGTTCTCCCTGGAGGGCTTGTAGGATAAAATTACTGACAACTCTACCATCATTCATATGCATTCGAGGACCAAAGGTATTGAATATTCGGGCAACCCTCACTTCAACTCCTTCCTGCAGACAAAAAGAAAAAGAATTGTTACTACCTTAATAAGAATGTCTTTCTTCCTAAAAGTGCAAATTAACTCTCCCCTGTCCAAAAGCTTTCTTAAGAATCCCTCTTACAGCTTTAACAGGCATTGTTTTCTCACCATGAAACACCTCTAACCTCTCATCAACCCTGCTGGAAACTGTAGTGCATACAGCAAGGTAACGTATACTAGTTCTCAGTATTTGTAATGCAAATTCTAAATCAGTGCTAGAACAGCTGATGATTTCAGCACACACATTTTCTTCCAACAAGAACTTTAAGATTTTTCATTAGTACCCTTCCAACAACAACTTATTTCACCTGGGACTGATCTATACTTTTTGGATATAAGTGAAGTCCCACAATCACCAGATATGGTACCAAGGTAGCATTTCCAAAAACGAGAAAAGTTGAACACTTCAGGTAAGTATCTTTACCCATGCTACAAAGTAAGTGGCTTTGTAACCACAGCCACAATGTTTCTTAGCTCCCTGCTACTTATTAGGCTGTGTAAATGCATGCATTACAATCCAGGTCTCTTTAATGGCTTAGTTTTTTCCAAGAAACATTTCTATAATTCCCAGAAGTCCTTTCTGGAGGATATTTTGCAAATCTTCAAAGCAAAATGCAACAAATATGCGAGACTGGAAACTGTCTGGACAAAACATTTTAACACTGGGAAGCTGCAGATTGAAGTAGTCTCTCTCTAGGTATTTTCTGTTTATTGACACTTACTCATTTGGACAAGCCACAGTTCTTGATAAAGCCTACAAGAAGGATGTTTGACCTTTGTGAGCTCAAGTACGCACTTGGCTCCTGATGAGTTCAGAGCAGCATGGTATGATGTAAACAGATAGATGCCACCAAGTGAAAGTGATAGCCACAAGGCAGGGACGAAGGTGTCAACTTCAGTCCAGGCCTATCCATCCTCCTCATACCCCCTGGCCCTCCCCCCTTCCAGAAAAAGCCATCCTTCTATCAGTCACAGGAAACACTTTTCATCTGAAGCAAACTTTGTGCTGCTGATTCAACTGAAGCAACTGAAGTCACAAGCACAATGTTCTGGAGTTGCAAACATTCAGTTATTCCTTCAGAGGATACACAGAACATCTTGTATTTTCAATGCCTTTTACTAAGGCTTAGACCAATGCTTGCCTTTTTCTTGGAAGACAAGAGTGTGTGTGGAAGAAGTGTGTTGTTGGTACATCTGAGGCTGAAGGCTGCAGCTCACATACACTTCACTCAGGAGAGACCTGGAAACACATTTTTCTTGGAAATAACGGTAGCTTCATGTTCAAGAGAAACTTGTAAGAAAATCTGATCTGTCTTGGCTCTCCAAGTGATTCATAAACAAATGAATCCTCAAAGAAGTTTTGTGAAAGCAATAGCATCAGCTTTTTACAGATGAGAGACTGAGAGAGGCAAAAGGTACATTTAACACTTCAGCTACTACTTGGTGTAGAGAAATGGGAAACACCAAGTAGTATAGGTAAAGCCCAACACTCCCTAGTATGGACAAGGCCAAACAACATCCAGTTCTGTTCAACTGCAGGTACTGTTTTGGTCGCCATGATCAAGCGTTGTTTATATTTGCAACTAAACTGTAAGCTAACAGCAGCCAGGGAGGTAACTATTGTGTCATAGGAAAAGCTACGGTCTTGGGTCTTTGTCACACAAGAAGCTTGCATCCACAACAGAGCCAAAAAAATAACCTCACAACATCCATGTGGCCCTGCTGAGACACCCTGGAAAGAGCAGAAGTCCCTTCCCATGCAAAACGCATCAGTTGGGAAGATATTCTTTATTTCCTGTTAGATAAAAAAGCATGGCAGTGTAACATGTCAAACATATACTTCCAGCAGCATATTACAGAGCCATTCCCAATGCCTTCACTGTATCTGGAAATATATAGAATCATAGAATCGTCAAGGTTGGAAAAGACCCTTAAGATCATCGAGTCCAACCGTCAACCTATCACTGCCAAGTCCATCTATACCATGTCTTCAAGCACCCTATCTATCCGTTCTTTAAATACCTCCCGGGATGGAGACTCAACCACTTCCCTGGGCAGCCTGTTCCAGTGCCTGACCACCCTCTCAGTGAAGAAGTTTTTCCTAATGTCTAACCTAAACCTCCCCTGGCGCAGCTTGAGGCCATTTCCTCTCGTCCTATCACTCGTTACTAGGGAGAAGAGACCGACCCCCACCTCGCTACAACCTCCTTTCAGGTAGTTGTAGAGAGCAATAAGGTCTCCCCTCAGCCTCCTCTTCTCCAGGCTAAACACCCCCAGC